AGTGTTAAAAATGGGAAATTGCAGATAAGTTGTAGAAGTTGTAGCTGTTTTCCTGGAAAATGTCACGCCTGTCTTAAAACTCCTTCCTTGTATTGATACAAGGATTTGTACTTTTGGACTGTCAACACTGTCATGGAACTGGTCTGTCAAAAATTGTCTACTTCATGTGGAAGGAGGGCAGGAATGGCTACAGATAAAGACAGAGAGGTCAACTGCTTTATTTTGATGATTGTGTCTGCATTCGCTGGCTTAGTGAGTTCATGAAACTATGGTCTTGCGTATCCAAGTCCCGCAAAAAAAAAATAGGTGTTTTCTATGCTGCATTTCAGGTTCTAGAATTGGTAATGACTAGCTCAGACATTTAAAATGATTTGTACCTGTCTCTGTGTGAGTGCTAAATTGTACTTAATATCCCAGTAAAGTTTTAACAGCTTCTTACTCTAGGTAAGTGAAAACTAAGTTTATTTATAGTTTTAACTTTATCTTTAGATTGGCAACATGCTGACCTTTGATTCATTTGTGAAGGCAGTAGTCTCTCTGAAGAAATAGACAACTGCAGGCCTGAAATTCTTACTAAGATGATGTTTGGTATGCAGCTAGCCGAAGAAGTTTGTGCCCTACCACACCTGCTTTGTCAACTTTCAGTGCTGTCTCTCTCCAGTTGTACTACTACAGCTGCTTCTGGCGCTGCGTGGTAAATCAGATCAGTGAAACACTCCTTTCGCTTTGTTTCATCTCATGTCTTAATTGAATATGTAGCCTGAGTGTCTCCTAATACCAGTCCCGTAGAATTTTAATTGCTTTTACTGAATGACCTGCTTAAACAGCCAATAGATCATTTAAAAAGAGATTCTAGCGAAGCTAGTGCCATACAGCCTTTTAGGTAGTGAGCTATACTACTTTTCTGAATCTGTTCAGAAATCCAAGTCCTCTAGCTGTGCATGTAAAAATATGGTGAGTAGGAAGAGAAGTTAGAGAACAGCCTGGTTTTTTCATTAAACCTCCAAGTATCACGTGCTATTCCAAGCCTGTACTGCTGGTAGAGAAAGATCACTAGCCTTTCGTCTTTTTTAACCACGTATCTTTCCTAAATATAGTGAAAACATAGTGATTTGACAGCATAGTTGCATGACATGGCAGCTTTTGATAGGGACAGACTTTAAGGATGACCATCTGAGATTTGTTCTGTCCCTCACACTACCCTTAGAAGTGAAGTGAAAGTACACCTGCACTGTCAGTTTAGCTTTTCTGATCACACTCGGGCCTTGGTCTGCATGCAGAATATTGAGCATGCACCTGGGCACTCTTTTGGAGCAAACCGATTAGTTCAATTGGAAACGAAGTCTAAATACAGTTCTTAGACCTGTTCACACTAGAGATGTTTGTCAGTAGATGATATGGAGGAGACAGCCCCATGCAGGAGACTGGCTGCCATACACAACTGTTTAATGCCATCCCAGCAGGTTTATACTCTCACACCTTCCAGTGCATCCTTGGACAATATACCAGGGCATGCAATACTTACCATGTATTTCTTCATTTAGAAACACCATTTTAATGGGTTGTTACACAGTCTTTGCGTTGTCAGACACTCTGAAGTGAACAAAAGTACACAAAAATGCCCTCAGATAATACCTGTCTGTATCAGGATGGATGCAGTTACAGAGCATCCTGTTAGAATTTGGGTATTGTGCTGGCAAGAGCTCAATCTGTTTATGATAACAAGATGTCTAGAGAAGACACTGGTAACAAACTTTAACTCAGAGGTGGTAAAGTTTCCAAGTGACATGGGTGAGTTGGTTTTTTTAATAATTTTATGGCACAAATGTTGCATTCAAGGTGGTCATAGCAAAACGTTAATGAACGCAAAATAGTGTTCATTATTTTAGTAGAGTGAGAGTATTAAAAATTTCAGTGGCTCACATTGTAAACTTTCTTTTGTTTGAATTGCCTCTTTCTAACCCAGTTGTAAGTTTATTTCATTTTTTAATATAGCATACTAAGTTTGTAATTGCATGTGTCCTTTCAGGTTTGCCTGAATCTATTATTGCAGCGGCATGTGCCAGAAGTGGCCAGAGAGTTCTTCATGTTGATTCGTAAGTTATGCCACTAATTCTCCTTTTGAAGAGTTAAACTGGCTAGAACGATATCTGTGTCTATGTCAGTGTGCCCTTCGGGACTTATGTTTTATGTTCATTTGCCATCAAGTAATCTTATGCTTCTGTCTCTACCTTATTTTTGGGGTCTTATTTCCGTCAATAGAACAGGAAATTTTTGCATGCTAGCTCAGTAATTTGGAACATAAGTGGATGCTGTTGACAACTCCTTCTTTCGTACAGGCAGGGATGGTTACAGGTTTAGTGCCCTTCGTTATCATTCCTCACAGTAATTAGTCCGTTCTGGTTTTCTGAGAATTTTTACCTGGACCTTTATCACTTGGTGACAAAATGTTTTACTAGTCTCTCATTTGTATCAGTTCTCAATGCCTCGAGACGTTAATACAAGTACTTTTGCATTTTAATAGTTACCAGAATGAAGATGAGTGAAATCTGGCTGACAAGATCTTGATTGTGGCTGGCTCCTGTCCCCTTGCTACTTGTTCGGTCCCAAATATTAAAAACCTTATTTTAGAATAAGCAGGTATAGAATGAATAAAATAGTCATGTTTGGATTTTAAGCTTAATGCATATATTACCAGTAGACTACTTAGATATTGTTAAATGAACCACTTCTGTTTTTTCAGTTTTTCATATTCATTGGCTATCAAAGTCTGTAATAATGGTTAGCCACTGGAACTTGGATTTCTTTTATCCATGCCTATTTTTAGCTATGATGAAGAGCCTTTCAGAAAACCCATTGAAGCAGGCAATTAGAACTGTGGAATACAGATTTTGTTTATTGCTGTTTTCACTTAAATATGCTCATTTACATTCACACATGCTTTTGGTTTTATGAAAAAATGAAGGCTTCCACATTCAATTCCTTTCTCCTATGGAGTTATTGTCCAGCTCTAGTGCAGACTAAGGTCAGGGGAAGGTGTTCTTAACCAAGCTGTTCTTCGCTCATATTAATAGCTGCCATTTTAGTGTGTGTATGTGCTCACAGAATCATGGTCTAGAATCCGCATCTTGCCAAAAAAGTAGAAATGTTTATACTGTACAACCCTTTCCCCATAAAAAGGGAAGCATTTCAAGCCATCTGCTTTTTGTGTTTAAGTTAGTACTCTTGCAAAAAAAGCCTACTAAAACCAACAGAAACCCCCCACCTTGATGCCATTTGAATTTTAAGTGAAAAGTTAAGTCTTGGAAAGCTTGCCAGAGATTCATCTGCATTAAAACATTTTTATTTCATCTACTAAGTCTAGTTTAATATACTAATTTCTAAATTAATTTTCAAGTTTAATTTTACTGAGGTAACAGCATAATTGTCAATTCATCAACAAAAAATCTGTTTATATTAAGAATATCACTTTTTAACAATATATGTTGTTCCCTTCTTGAAGGATCAGGAGTTAAAATTTTTTTCAGGGTATATAAGATTTGGGGTTACTGAAATACTTGTTCGTGTTAGGTATGCTACTTCGATTAATCTTTTGTTCTTTAAAAAGGTCTGAGTTAAGCTAGGCACAGTGTATTGAACATGTATATGGATTAAGTCTTTGTTTACAGTTTGCTTGCACTCATTACCTCGTGTACATAATTTTATTACTTTTAATCTCCAGCCATGTTTGAATTTATCATAATATACTGCATAGGTGATTATGGAAGATAGTTTGAAGTGGCCTATTATAAAATACTAAGTTCTAAGTTTGATTTATAAACACTGTCCAAGCATTGCCATCAGCAGTAGCTAATCTTACTCAAAATAGTCACTTCACTGCAGTGTTGCCATAAATTCCTGTAGACTGGTTTTAAACTAAAGTTAGCTTCTGCCAAATAGTAATTGAAAGAGCTCTATTTCTCTGTGCCAGCTATCTGTCTCAATAAATGTAAATTCTGTGGTTCTTTTCAGAAAGCTACATTTACTGTAGATATTAATGAGCTGTTGACATGTGAAATTTCAAGGATATTTGTTAAGTGATTTAGGGAAGTAATTTGCAATTTAAAATGTGGAGATTGGCACTTAGTTTAAACTTGAAGTTGCTGAAGAAAGGTAGATCAAGACTAAAAGTTGATTACTTGATGTGGATATACTTCCCATACTAATTCTTAATATGCAGTGGACTTTTTGCTGATGGCTTGCTGTGTTTTCTACTTTGGGTCCTTTGCTTACTGGCTTCTTAAAATTATATATCTATATAGTGGTGTACAAGTTTGGTTACTGAGGATGGGGCAAGTAGAGGAGAGGTATGTTTAGCCACATTTTACATTTGATTTTCAGCATCTAGAATATAGCATTTCTAGACTATAGTTTTGTAGACTATAGTTTTATTGTCTACATACTTCCTCATTGACTTATTTATCTTTCCATGTAGGGTTCATCTCAAAGGCAAAGGAGTTCTAAGGTGCAGGATTTTAACTGCTCTTTTGTGCCCAGTTTGCTCTGTCTACTTCTCATATCTTGCTGCTTGACACCTGTTATCTTTCTTGTTTTTTCTATGTGTTTTGCCCGTAGTGTACTTGAGTGTCCCTTGTGTCCAAAATTTTGGGCATCCAAAAGCATGCTGGGCACCCTGCTTGTACCTCCCCCCTCCAAGATACCTGCTTTTGTAGTTTGTTCCACTTCTTGCTAGAAAATCTGTCTCGCTTTCTTCAGGACTTGTAAAATATATAATGTAATATAACCCATGTCTTCATATAGCCTTCTTTTTCATCTTTTAACTTCTGTGAAGTGAGGTAGCTGTGTAAGTACAGCAACTGGAGAGTGGAAAGGTTGCTTCTGAGAGCAGGTCTGTTTCTTGCAAGAAAAATAAAGGAATTATTTAACGTTCAGTAAGGAAACCTAGGCAAAAATTCTTAGTTCTTTTGACTTTTCTGGAAAAGCTGTGTTTTGTTTTTGTTTTTTAATTTATTTTGTTTTAGGGGAGATGATCTCATAGCAAAGGTATTAGAGAAAAAACATGGTCTCAACTGGTCCATGATAATTACCTTTGGTTATATTCATATCCCATGATATAATGTAATGTAGTACAAGTGACTGCCACCATCACTCTTTTATTGAGCTGGAGGATCTCAGGAGCTGTTTGGGTTAAACCCTTCCTCTTGGAAGGCAAGGAAGTGTAGACCACTTCTCGTGCTCCTAAACATGATTACTATGCCAGAAAGGGAATTTTAAATACATGTGACTCTGTACTTAGTAGGTAGCACATGAAACTTTATGGGTTTGAAACATAAGTCATTTTGTGTTCAGAACCTTTAAAATTGATGTGGCAGTAACTTCCTTGGCAAAAGACAGCTACTCTGATGGTGCGAGACTTCTTTCTGAAAGATCAAATGCAGGACAGACACAACCAGGCAGCTCTGGGGAGCAGTCATGAGGCATCAGCAGCTTTTCTTCAGGCATCACCAGCGTTGACTGTTAAACCATGGCCGTTATGACATGGCACTGAGAAGGGTGACCTTTTTAACAGGCATAGTCTGTGAAATACTTTTTCTTTTTTTACTTACATTTTACGTGTGTATTTTGTGGTTTCAAAAGTGTTCAATTTCTGAAATGGCAGTCTGTCTTCAAAAGGACATGGTAGATATTCTGTTGGTTTAGATTCCAAGAATGTTAATCAGTAGGAAACAATGTCCAGTTTCAGTGTTCTGGACTGGGATTTGCTAATTCTTTCTAAGTATTTGAAGAAAAAATGGGCTAAATAACTGAGAAAAAAATCACAAACTAATGTAGAAGACAGAATTAAGCTTTTTGCAGAGGTAGAACTCTACTAGGACTATGCTTCCAAAACTTTGCAAAAATGGCTTTAGCAGTTCTGCCATTAGCTCTGAACTACAGATTTCAGATTTGACAAATGTGAACTAAAAGCAGCAGTATTTTAATTCATATGAAAATCCAGGTAATACAGGAGAAGTTTTGAGCCAATATCATCTGGGAAAGCATGTATGGCAGAGAAAGAAGACATCTGTGCTCTAACTTTGTAGAAAAATTAATTTCTAACTCTGCTGTTCCACCTTCAGAATGTTTCGTGTTCTTACTTAGAGGATGATTGAATTATAACCTTAAAAAAGGGAGAGAATATCCATCATTTTAGCTTTTTAATATAGCAAGAGAAGAGAGGAGCTTAGTCCTTGAGATTTTGGAACAAGATTTTAGGGTTAATTATGCTTTGATCTTGACCATTACTTGAAGGAATTCCTCGGTTCATCCTCAGGGCATTTTTAATAAAAATATTTGGTTATAAAGGACTCGTAATTGCAAAACCATTAGTCAGCTGTTTTTCAGAATTCTTCTTCAAGTTTTTTACTAAAAACTTGGCTCATTAGATCAGTAATCATGTCAGGTCTACCTTCTTTCTGTAGTGTTTTCAGATGAAAAAATTAAGCAATCCTGATTCATCATGTAATGCAGGGTAAACTAACTAATTCTGAGGAAAAAAAATATCTGCAAGTTGATGCTTCATGAGAAGATTAATATTTGGGGTGGTATAACATAACTTGGGAAGGGTGCTCAGATGCCAGAGGAAAGGAGGGACAGCTGCGATTCATTTTCCATTTGAGAAAGGCCGTACGGTGTTCTCGAGACTTGATTGAGCTTCCGAACAGCATTATGGAGTGCTTTGTTGAAAAGATTGATTCATGTCAATGGTGGTTAAGAAGAAAAGCCATTTCAAAGGAAAATTCACCTGGTGAATGGAGGAATGTTTAAAACAAAGATGTCTGACAGCTCACAAATAAACTTTTGTAACTTGCTGGGAAAATAACATACTGATTTCTCTTACTGAAAGTTTTAATTTTATATATTCTAAATATGTATGAATTTATGTTGGTATAGATTCAAGAAACCCAGTCCTAATTTTAGACAGGTGTTTTCTGCAATTTCTGTGATCAATGGCCTTGCTTGCTCTGACAGCCAGATTGTATTCCATATTCAAGGAAACTTGCAACTAAAGCAGCAGATTCCCTTAAAAATAAATCTTCATGGCTGTGTTTTTTGGAAATCCCAGAAGTGGCAGATAATATATGGATATTGAATTTTTTTTCCAGTGGAATGTTAAGAAGCAGCAAGAAATTAACCTGCACCATTGACAAGCTAGAACAAAGCTGGAGATTATCGTTGCATGCAACCATCAGTTACTGCCTTACAAATTGAAACCTGACAGAATCAGGCATTTAATATATCAAATCTTCATGGCTTTGGATACTATACGATACCAAATAGCAGTACTTTTTAAGCCTCACCCATGTCATTCACATAATGTAGCAAGTATGAACTCCTTTTTATAGATGATTGGAGTTTCTGGTTGGTAACAGATCTCCAGGTGGAGCCCTTCTCCTTAGGGGAACCAAATTGCAGGATAGACGATGTGAGTTCTCTTAAAGTATAGACCCAGCCCTCCCAGTTCGTGCCCTTAAACGCTGTGTTCTGTTGTTGAAGCCACCTTTACACAGTGAATGCTGGATTTTGTTGTCTTTGCAAAAGATGTCCTATTTATATTCTCAGCTATTGCCTTGCAGTAGCTGAAAGACTTTTCTAGGCCAGTTTCTAGTCAGGAGCGATTAGGCTGTGTTTAGCAGACATCTGCCCTTCATATGCTAAGTAAGCAACATAGTGTAGAGCATCACCTTCTAGTACTGTAAAGGGGCTGACACTCTTAATGAAGTCTTTGTCAGTGCATATAAGTCTAGTCAAAAAAATACCATCTTAAACAATAGAATTGAACCTGAATTTAATTTTTCACTTTCATCACACTTATCTCTACTATTTAAAAGTGGAGGAGGTTATGGGAAGATTTTAAGTTCATTTGATAGGGCAATCTTCTCATTGTTCTGTAAAACACAAACCCCACCTTCCTCCCTAAATTTTTTTTTTTTTTTTTAAGTGCATGCAATAACATTAGATATCCATTCCGGGGGTTATTTTTATCTTTCATGCTTCTGAAGTGCCAGCATGCAGTGCCAGAAAACAGAGTTAAATCCTGAAACGACTTTTTTTTGTTTTGCAAGAACAGGTGATTCTTAAAAAACGTAATTGCTCTATTATTTTTCCTATCAGAGTTGTTAAATATTTAAGATGTGGTATGATAACAAATCCAATTAATCCAACTGGTGCTCAGAGAAATGTTGATAGAAAAATTTAAAAAAGGGAGAGCAGAGTCTTTCTTTGAGTAAGAGCAGAACTGTTAATTTCTGTGATTTTTAAGTTGTACACTGATATTTTCAAGGCAGAAGGTGGTAAATACAAACGCAGAAATACTCAGGGAGGTATGAACGTTTTGTACAAATCAGTTCCTTTGGCTCCACCTACAGTATATGCAGTTTAATAAGAATTTTGCCAGAGCATCCTAACAGTCTATAATAAGCATAATCTGTTCTGTAAGCAGTACAAAAACAACAGAGTGAACTTTGCTTTATTTGACATAATGGATAAGAGATGTGGTTTCTACTGTCTGGACCCAATTTGAGTTTCCTTAACCCTCCTTTGCATAGCCACCTCACGAAGGACTGTTAGTTTAGAAGTGGCATATAATGCAATTACGTTAACTTCCAAATCAGCTTCAATCAGAAGCAGTATAGCTGTGCTCATGTGACAAAGCTCTTCGATCCTGCCAGAACCTGAAAATGTGGAGTGTGGTATGGATGCAAAAAAACCCCGAATTGGCTTTTCCGAAAACTCGGTTGAAACTGGAAGACTTGTTGGCTTGGCTCCATGCTACGTGAAGATGTCTATAGTGTTGTACATGTTTGCGCTAAAGGTCTAGAGTCAGTCTTGGCCAAGAAGCAGCACTATCAGTGTTTTCCTTTTACTCATAGCATCCCATGTGCTTTTCTCGGCATTACTCATTTTACCCTCCAAATAATTTGACTTTGGACTATAGTCTGTTTGGTCAGAGATGCATACAAATAAGTAAAAATTGAAATTTTGCATCTCATTAAGAGTTGTGAAATATTACACCAATTTTTATGTTCTGCATCTGTAAAATCTGTCGTGGAAAATATTTTTAATTACTCAAACTTGGTTGTGTTTTCTTTAAACCTGAAAAATCTATGTTTTCATCTCTCCATCAAGTTTTATTGTTGTTTTTTTCTTTGCAGGAGAAATTACTATGGTGGAAACTGGGCCAGCTTTAGTTTTTCAGGATTATTGTCCTGGATTAAAGAAAATCAGGTAAAAAACTTCCCAAATTACTACTTCTAATGTTCTTTAACTTTAAATCTTAGTTGTTTGCATAACTTATTACAAGAGAAATTATCGCAATGGTCTTTGGTAATTTGAGAGATCAAAGACGTATTTACTTTCCAACTTTACTGGTTAAGATTTATCCATCTGGCCTAGCATTCTAACACTCTTGATGTGCCTGGTGTATTTCTGTTATAATCCGAGACCAAATAGTCTAGTGCTCAGTCATACTTTTTGAGTTCTTGAATTTACATAGAAGCAACTACACTGTTGTTTCGATTCGTTTCCCAGCACCTTTTGCAAACGATAATCTGGTCTTTTCGATTTCCTGTCTGATTCTTTCTTAACTGTGAGAAAGGTAGTTATTGGGTCCTTCCGTTGAAATGTTCTGTAACCAGGACAAAAGGGTTAATGTTGATAGTGTATTTTTTTTCTAATTCATGACAGTCCACTAGAAATCTTCTGAGGAGGATATTTATTTACGATACTGAGCACTTGGACTACATTAGCAAATGGATGTTCGTATTATTTACTGAAGCATTATGAGCCTGTTGGTCCATAGAAGATGGGACTTCTTCAGTTCAATCTCATGCCTATTTATTACATAGTGCTACCTTCTGGCGTAATCAGCGGAGTTGCTCAGTGTCAGAACTTAATATTCTCCGTGTTCTGTTAAATGGTTTAGAGATTCCTGTGTGTGACAGATAAATGTGATACCCAAATTACTGTATTTTTTCATAAGGTTTTATGTTCAAAGAGTTTTGTCACAAAATTTGGAACTAACCTGGCTGTGGCAAACCTGTCTTTTAGTAGATTGTATTCAAAGTTATATTCAAGTCTCTACTAAACCTTGTATTTCATTTAAAATTGTATTTTCAGATTATTAGATCTAGTAATATAGTGTAAATGTTGGCATGCATGCTATAAAGTAACAAGGTCTAAGTTTTTCAGCTGAAAAAATCTGAATAGAAAAAACATTAAGACAGCTAAGATAATTCTTTTTCTTTAATATAAGATGGTACAACAAATTATTTGGGATTATAGAGATTTATAGCTCAAGAGTAGCTAGCACAGTAAAAAATGTAATTATAATTGTTCTTTGTAAGCAAAAGACAGGTATCAGTGATGAATGTGAGGACTGGAGAAAACTGATCCTTGAGAATGAAGATGTTATTTCTCTTAGCAAGAAGGGTAAAACTATTCAACATGTAGAAGATTTCTGTTTTGGCGAGTAAGTACAAATACAGAAATATACAAATAATTTTATATGCCCAGAGGTAAATTATCATATTGTGCTTTTGGCTTCAAGCATTTTACCGTGCTATCATATTGCATGTTGTCTCAAAAAGTAACCGTGAGCTCTGAAATGTTTTTAATATTCTTGTGCTTTTGTTGAAATCACTTGCACTTCATTAAAGGTAACTGATCCTTCTTAAATTACCTTATCTGGATGCAATGTAATTTGTTGATCAAATTTGTGAGTTGGTAATTTACTTCTGAATAGAAAATGGAAGCGTTGTGCCTGTAGGTATTATTAGTAGTAAGTAGTTAATGCACTACCATCTAATATATTTTTGTATTCTTAATTTGCCTAAAAGCTGCTATTCTTATAGCGAAAAGTTAAAGACATAAGTACATGTAAAATGAAGTAAGTACACAAGAATAGGAGCACAAATGGACAGTAGTACTGTAATTATAAAATACTCTAGTTGTGCTAAAATGGTAAAGTAGTATTTGCCTTGTGTCATTTTTATATTCAGTGGATTTAACTTGCTCATTAGGCAGTGCTTACCTATGCTGCTTAGAGGGAGTTGCATGGTGAAAGGCTCCTGGTAATACACCAACAGTTAGCCTTTTTGAGCTGTCACCTTCTTTCTGTTTTTGAAGTAAAGCAAGCTCAGCTCTTACTTTGCATCCAACATGCAAAAAATACATGCTTAGTTTGAAATACAAATGTTTACTTTTGTGAATATTTGTTGCAGAAGACATGAAGAATAGTATACCATCTTAGGACTGCATATGTGGTAAATATCATTTAGTTAGGTATTTGTAGAGGTATGTCTGCATTAGCAGAAGCTAAGGATCCAAATTTCACTTATTTTTTTAGATTTTTAGGTGGAAGTATGATAGTTTGTTATATCTAAGTCATGCAGAAGGTAAGCTTTTCACAATATTGTATTACTGAAAATCAAGGAACATTTAAAAGTAACTTTGTGAAGCAGTAATGTTGAGCAATGTGTAAGCATAGTAATGATGAATGGAAATTTTATGGACCTCAACTGAAAACTGAACTATTTCTTTGTGTTTATCATTTTTATCTTTTGGATTTTGCACTGAACTGAACACTGTTCTGAATTCCTGAAAGGTTCTTTGGGATAGTTATGTAAGTTTAGCCTTGAATCCCTTAGATAATATCATAGATAGCTCAATGAAATGTTGACATAGTCATACAGAAACTTGTATTTCTTTCTGTAAATGTCACAGGTAGAAAAAAAAGGTGTAAATAAATACAATCTGAAGGTCACAGACTCAGAATATTTAAAAATTCTATATTGTACGGTAATGGCTGCTTGACTGTATTGCAGATAAAATGTTATGCTTGTTTCAAAGCAATAGCAGTTGAATATTGTACTTGTAATCCTGTTGCTAGAATAAATATTGTTCAGAACCAGTATTAAATCAGGTTAAAGGTTACACGGTCTTGTAACTTTGCATATGATTTTCCTAAGAAGATGTGATACTGTCTGCTGGCTGGCTTAAAAATGAGTCCCCTAGCACTAAGATTTCACACTCGGTAGAAGTGAGCGTTATACTTGAGTCAGGACAAAATAAAAGATTCTGCTTCTAAGCATTTAACTTTGCCTGGCAGTACAATGCTGTCTGTCTCGATTATCAACAAAAACCCTCACAGGGAAGAATGGTAAGATTAATAAACCTAGCAAAGAAGAAGTTTTCCAAAATACCGTAAAACTTTCTGAGAGAGTCAATTACTGTTTTTCTGACAATTTACACGTTCTGGCTAGATTCTGTTGTTTTTGCTGAACTTTTATAACTCCTATGAAGTAACCATTAAACATTTATTTTGAAAGAATAAACAGCTGGGTAGCAGTATAATATACACAGTGCAAATCTGAAATGAATGGCCTTAGAACAAAGTGCATCCATCAAAGGAAAAGAATACTGTGTCTACAACAAGCTGTATTGAAAAAAGGCAAATGGCTGAAAAATAAATAGTGAACACCTGTGCTGAATAAATTAACCAGCTGGTTGGCAATTTTTCATTTGACCTATCTGAAGGGGTTGCTGTTACAAGGCATTAATAAGACACATTCATTTTAAGATATTCCTTTGTTAGTACCATTAATTGATGAATGGTGGAAGATAATATTCTAAATTTACGCAAGAATTTGTCTGCAGATGTATTATTTTTTTCTGAATTAGGAGAAGAATTGTCTGTACAAAAGTTCAATCTGAGTGATTTTTGTAGACGGTTCTTACATTATTCAAGGATATTTGTTCCTATAGGAAGGATGTCATGAATTTAGATTATATACAGTTTTTATGCTTTCATTATAAAATTGTGTAGACCTGCAAATCATGCAGATTTGCGTACTCATTAATAGGAATTGAACAGAGATTTTAAATATGTAAATATAACATTTCTGTTACACTGCTTTTTAGAGTGATACAGAAAAAAGGCTGTGTATTGTGAATCCAGACTTTATTTTGCTTTAAAAAGAAATAATCGAGTATGTTTAAAATGAGATTGAACTGTACATTGAGCTTGGGAGAAGGTAGAAAGATAACTTGCCTCTGAATTTTTATGTTAAAAAATCTTTAGGATGGGTCAAAGAATAGCTTCATTCTTAGTTATTGCATTAATGGCAACAGCTTTTGCAGTTGTCACAAACACCATGTCCCAAATTCCTAAAAAAAACCAAACCCACAAAAATCCACACAGAACCCCAAAATTCAGTTGACGTTCATTTGTATTTTTAATAGAGACTAATTTAAAAAAAAAAAACTTGACGAAGTACTTCTCTTTCCTTGCTATTGTATATTTATTTAATGCTTGAAATATGAAGCAAAAAGACATAATTTATGTACAGAAACAGACTACTTTAATTAGTGCTTCCTTATAGCAGTTCCTGTATTTCCCAGGGCAATATTATACCCCATTCATGAGTAAGTGCTTCCCGGTGGCTGCGCACAAGCTGAGAGACTTACTCCAAACTCTTCTTTTCACGAGCCCATGTGAGCTCCCTGAGTTCATAAGTGAGGAGCAACTTCTAAAGGATACAGGGCTTTTGTTCCCTCTTCTAACAGAAATCCTGCCCCCTGCTTCCATCTGTAAGGCTACAGATGTGTGAGGGAGCGGATTCACATGTATATTGAATAATTCCTTGCTGTTCAGTGAATTTTAACCATCTTGTTAGTTATTGAAATTTTGTACTGTACGTTTGCAGGTCACCTTTAAAATCATAGTTCATTAGTTTTCAGCAAAGATTAAATTGTTTATTCAGTGCATTAATGGCTTGTGGTAGAAAGATAAAAAGACAGTCTGAAATTGTTTCTGAACTCCTTTCACTTCCAATGACATTGATTTGATTCATCTCAGCTGGTAGTATAAACTAAAATTCTAAGTTCAAAAGTACTAGTTTCTAAGGTAGATGTTATTGAAGTTCGAGATAAAAAGAGTAGATGAGATTAAAAGTGGAGGTCTGCTTTATAAGAGGAATTTTAAGGAATTGTGTCGTGAAAAGGAAATGGACTATAGAGAGTAAATGTTGTGTGGTAATGTCCCTCCCCTTGAGTGGCTGCCTTCGATCTAGTGCCTACGAGGCACAAATCTGCAGCACTTGCATAAAAATAACATTGCTACATGAGGGAACTTTGTTCTGTATGGCTGTTACTTGAACAACTAATTAGAATGCAAGATCAGAGCTGGAAAAGTAATCTGAAAGTTTTACTTAAACTTCAGGTCAAAATCGCAAGCTTCTCTTACGGACTTGCTATAGTAGTCTCGTTTGTATAAAGCACTTCTGTTTTGTTCGGTGAGTTTGGTTTTTAAAAAATCTGAACTTAATGGCTTTAATGCATTTTTGCATTTCAGTTTCAAAGGGGTTTTTTAACTCGTAGGAAAAACCTAATCCGATTGCTTTACTGTTTCTTTTTTAAAATACTATCATTCTTTTGTTTACGTAGCTGTGTATTGTGTTTCACCATGAGAGTTTTGATTTTCATTTTGGGCTCATTCCATCTTTTGAGTCTGTGTAAAATAAGAACCCCAATTTTTGTCGGGTTTTTTTGCTTCTCCTCAGTAAAAACACTCCTCTTGAATGACAGCTTTGCAGTCAAAGAACCAGGATTCTTTAGTCTGTGGTACACCTGATTCGGCCAGGATAAAGAAATTGTAATGCTTTTCATAGAAACGCTTGAGGTTTCCATTTTGGCACTGACTCAAAACTTTAAACCAGTTTTTAAGACTCTTTAAAAAAGACTTTTCCCCCCTTCCTTCCCTGTGTTTTTAATCAGTCAGGATTCAGCTGAAGATGTTGAAGAAGCTGGTGCATTGCCAAAGCTGCCTGTCTTTGGAGCCTCTGGTGCGGAGGGGGTTGCTCAGGACTCGGAAAAAGAGAGCCCACCACTGGAGAGTGCCTTACCGGAGGCGGAGAGCTGGGAACCTGAAAAGGCTACAGGCACTGAGCCAGCAAGTGCAAGGGAAGGGAACGATACAGAAATAACCTCTGAGCGTGAAAGTTCTCATAGTACAGCCTTAGGCGAGTCTGCTCTGGAACTGGGAAAAACTGAAGCTGCACCCTCAGAAATTTCTGCCCAAGAACCAAAGAAAATTACGTATTCCCAAATTGTTAGAGAAGGCAGAAGGTTTAATATTGATTTAGTTTCCAAGGTAGGAACTGAATGACTCTTTTCATATAAGTACATTTACTTTTCTTAAAATGCTGGAATTTAAAAAAAGTCTTTAAAGTTGCAGGGTGCTGACACACTACCTTTGAGGCAAAAAAAAGACACTCTGGAGAAGTAAGCAAGAATTAGTACTCTTTAAACGAGCGATTTCATATGTGCTCTTTAGTGTTTCTTTATAACCAAAGAGACCACAAATAATAGCTCAGAAATATGTCCGTAAAAGTAAATTGAAGTCATATCTGCAAAGTTGCTCTTTTTAAATATCATCATTTTAAAAAATATTTTTTTAAACAAGCAAAATGAATCTACATGCAGATCTTTGGTGGTTTTAAAATGAAAAATAATCGTCCTGTTGGAGTACTTCTGGGTTTTTAGATTTTCCTGTGAAACTCATGTTGTCTCTACTAGTTTTGGTTTTCTGGCAACTAAAGCACTGAATTGTAATAAATTTTATTGGAAAGAAAAAATAATTACACTTAATCCGTAACGTAAAAGTGACTAAAAGTAGTTGTTATTGTGTTGAATTCCTACTAGCGTGTGTTTTACTTAGAGGAAAAACTATTAGTCTGACATATTGTCATACTGTTTAAACTCTGAAATCTCCCTTTTACGTACATCACAGTATATGGATACAGTCCTGCAAATTCAAGTTAAATGGAAATTTTTCTTAACTTCTGTGATTTAGACTGTGTACTCTGCAATGGGAAGTTTTTTCAAAGTTGAATGCTTTATTTTTTCATGTTCTGCATGAAAAGATTTTCTCCAAGCCTCTGGAAACTGTAAAAAAAAAAAAAAAGTTCTTCAATAATTTACTAAATTTTTGCAGAGACACTACAAAATGCATTGTTTCAGATTTTGTCTCTGTGTTCCAAATGTAGATACCTCTTTCATGCATCATTAGAATGACATCATGAAAACAATAGTCAGTGTATAGTGGTTGAGCAGATAGCACTATTTTGTATACTTTTTATACTGCCACTGTGTTACATGGTGTTAATTGCAATGAATACTAAAAACTCTGATGGAAGGGTAGTCATCTGGGCAAGACTAGTAGTTAGCGCTGGGTTTTCTCTGGCACTGGGACACAGGCTTTCTCATAGTGTCCTTGTTAGTGTTCTAGTAAACCTTTATCTTGAAAATTCCTCTGTGATCATGCAAATTCTGTTACTCAGGGCCACAAGACTTGAAGCATGTTTAAACGCATCTCCAGTGCTTTTCGATTCAGACATAGGACTATTCTGTGAATAGTTAAGTTTCTGTCCCTTCAGTATTTCTTTATATTTGTATCTTATAGAAAGAGTAAAGAGAGACAGATTATAAATCAATATATCAGAATATAACTAAACCTTAACTGGGGGTTTAAGGAATTTATATTTAGAGAACAGGGCATTATTGTTTCAAGTAGTTTAAGAAACAATAATGGAGAAAGTTTAAGAAACAATAATGTTTAAGAAACAACTAGTGATAATTTATACAGATGATGTCATATACTTTACTAATATTAGGAAAGTTAAGTGGTAAAATACAGTGTTCAAGGATATATAGCATACAATACAAAGATGACAACACAAAAAATTGTCTCAAGCTGTGATTCCCAGACTAATAAAACTAAATGAGCAGTAGGCTGACACCTTCCTTTTTCCTGCACGGACTCACATCTCCCTTTCTCTCCTGTGGACTGTTTTGTCTTCTCCATTTGTATGGTCGCTTCAGTTCAGTTAATATTATTTTGCACATAGGGTGTGATATTCTTTTATTCAGGTTTTACTTCACCATGTGTACTGGTAAATAGTTACAGAAAACACCTTAAAAAGCAGTACTTCTGGTATTACTGTTTTCTTCTGGTGTAAGCGCTTTCTCTTTACTCACCTTTTTTTTTTCCTTCACTGTGCAGTTGCTTTACTCCCGAGGTCTGCTAATTGACCTTCTGATTAAGTCGAATGTTAGCAGATACGCAGAGTTTAAAAATGCAACACGAATTCTTGCCTTTCGAGAAGGAAAAGTAGAACAGGTATTGTAATATAATGTATTGCATATGCTTAACCTCATTTTTTTAAGTCAAGAAACTTGGAATTGGTTTCTTTAGAGTTTTTTAACAGTAAGCTAGTGTTTTTCCTTAAGATTCTAATTTTTATTTCATTTCTGGAATGAAAAAATGTTCGTATGTATTATATATTATTTTTTTAAAAAAGCTAAAATTAGAATGTGCAGCCCAGTAAATTATTGACAATATTTGACATGAGGCAAAGATTTTAGACCGTGATCCACTTGGCAGTTAATTCTTAAAGATTCAGAGGTTTTAGGTTTTCGAGTTCCTAGCATAGACTTGATTTATCTGCTACTTACAAGAGAAGTCATTGGTGTGATAATGGCAACAGGAGATTTTGTCACAGTTAATTAATACAAACTCTTTTGATTAACTCCGCAGTCAGACGTGCAAGTGAAATTGAAGGGAAATTAAAAGCGGAAGAGACTGAAAAATATTTTAAAATATTGTTGTTGTGGAAAATTGGTAACTTCTGTTATAGTTATAATATACAATAAAGGAAATAAATATATAAGAAAATAACTGATAGAAAATAGTAATTAAAAATATTTGTCAGATAGTCAGACTAGAGTGTTGCTTGATGCTTTTCATATCCAGAGTATGGAAAGTACCTGAAATCATTAACAAATATTTTCCAGGTACCTTGTTCTAGAGCAGATGTCTTCAACAGCAGACAGCTCACTATGGTGGAAAAGAGAATGCTAATGAAATTTTTGACATTTTGTTTGGACTATGAACAACACCCTGATGAATACCAAGGTAGTGTTTCATTGAACAATGTACACCCTGTTCTTATGAGTTCGTTCAGTTATGCACAATTCTGATAGCTCTCCTGTGTTTTCACGCAATTTATTTTTATGGTTTCATTTTCAAAATATGCTTTGACCTTTTTGTGACCTTTTCACTTCAGTGTTAAGTTCTTCTACTTAAGCACTTGCTCTTCTAGTTCCCACATCATTTATTATTTTCATTTTTCTTAAAAGCAGAATTATATATTACAGCAAGGTTGCAAAATGTTTTTTAGCATTATTAGCTGTTCCCTTCCCCCTCCCAGGGATTTTTTTAATATGGTGTGATGTGCCTGTTTTTTCTTTTCTGCCTTTTTCGGGGCTGGGGGGGTGGGGGGGAGAGCTAATAAGTAAATCATCACAATATGTTGCCACAAAATCAGAAATTGAGAAAGTGGAATTTTTAAACTTTGAAAGTAAATGTAATTTAATGCCTTCTAGTTGCAGAGGGCGAGTTCAAAGTGCCTTTATGAACCTATAGCTTATTTAGACGAGAGAAAATCTGAATAGATTTGAGCCATAATGTGCAGAGAATAATAAGCATCAGGTCAAAGAGGAAAAATGACTAACAGAAGGAAAGTGATGGAAACCCACTCTCTGTTTTGGGTTTGTGCACCTCAGGGTTCAAAGGATGAAGTGATGTTTTCAGTTCTTGGAGTCTAAAAGTAAATTAAGTTTAAAAAATAGAAAAATCAGTGAAAAAGAAAGGAAAGGGAAGTAGTTAAAGCATTGATGTAAGTTTCAGACTGAAGCATATCGGTGCTTTTGTAACTTAACAGTAGCTTGCCTAAGCACTGTTTTTGAAAGAATCTGGTGTTAAAAAAGACACAATTGTTAAGGATGCTGGTTTGATTACTTCAACAAGACCCTTAGAATAGGTACAAACATTAGAGAAAATTATTTCAAGCATGTGCAAGAGAATTGGTCAGTATCAAGAATGATCTGGTAAGATTAGGAGACAGAGAGTCTGTAATGAACTCCAGAAAATACTGAAGGCAGAGGGAAACTCATTAGGCTGAAGTGGTTTATTCATTGCAGGTACTTTAAGGTTTACTACTGCTGGAAGAAATGGAGGTACTCAGAGTGAGAATATAGGTGATACTTAGAAAATTTTTAAGTTAAAAAGAAAAGAGACACCACATGAATTTTAAATGAATTCATTCAGTCATGTATGTAAAAGTCATCACATTCCTTTTACTTCCAGAGATAGTTAAACAGATTTCGCTCCTACATTTTAAAATAGCCTGGAAGGTAATTGGGAATATTTTGAGTCAGATAAATCTAATGTAAAGACTTCAGAAATCTAAAATTGCTCTTGGTGAGATCATTATGTTCGTGGGTAGGCAGACTTTTAATAGGGAGAGTTCATGATAGTGAAGAATTTTTTTAAAGCTACTTTCAGTAAAATTTGGAGTTATGTAAGAAGTATGAAGTGAAGAAAATCTTAAGGGGTTTTTTTTTTTAGAACAGTTAAAAAAATAACAAAAAAAAACAAATCACCCTGTCATTTTATGACTTGCTGCATGGCTGTACAAAGGGTAGTAAGATACGTCTGTAATGAAATGGTGGTTGAATCTTGAAGAGAATATATAACTTAATAATATGAGTTTCAGCATTGATGGAAGTGTTTCTGAATGACCTGTGAATTTATCCATAACTGAAATAAGCTTAAGAGCAGATTTCTGAATAGTACAATCTTTTCCTTGAAAGAAAAAAAAAATCATTTGGTTATTAAGATAACCAAAGTTTCAGAGGTGTATCAGTGACATGCAACACTCGTGTTAAACATCTCCTGAAAGACTTGTGTTTCTGTGAATTTTAAAATGTGCCAGCAATAGTACAAATTTAAAGGGACGATACACTTCCTCATCCCCGTCTTCTTCGTGTCTCATCTGTACTTGTTTGTTGTGAGCGAGTCATCAATTTGAAATAAATATTGTGCCTTCTCATCTTTGTATTAAGACGCTATGTGAATGGCTTCTCTGCGTGTAAATATACATTCCAACCATGTCTGTATGGGTTCAGCCGTGCTATTTCAGCAGTGCTATTCTTGAAGGATTGTCATTCAGATATAATATTTTGGGTAATTTTCAGGAAAAGGCATCCCTAGGCACTTCAGTGGATTTTTGTCCACAGCTGTTCACGTGTCTCACATGATTGAGAAATGGGTTTAGATGAAGTCTAACATAATGAATAGATGAAGTCATATTTAGAGGTTGCCTTCTAGAATGTTGGGAGACCCATACAGTGGGTTTGCATTATTTTGAAATATTGTGATGGAGTGGTATTTCTGTCTTCTGAGAACTCACTTTCTGGGAGTAAATTTTTAACTTTCATTGACTTGGATTATCCATTTTCAGCAAGATATTTGTTGAGAAACTCAATTGCTTTCGTTTATTTAAATATGAAAGTACTTGTTTGAGTTGAAGCATATGAGAAAATACAAATGTTATACTGTACCCTTTACCTAAATTTACTTTTTCCTCAGACTATGAGAACAGTACGTTTGCTCAGTTCTTAAGAACACGGAAGTTAACACCCAGCTTGCAGCACTTCGTTCTTTACTCTATTGCAATGGTTTCAGAGACTCATTGCAGCACTCTTGAAGGTCTTCAGGCAACCAAAAAATTTCTTCAGTGCCTTGGCCGCTATGGCAATACACCATTTTTGTTTCCTCTCTATGGTCAAGGAGAGATCCCACAGTGCTTCTGCAGGTAAGCTTCACTTCTCTAATACATATCTTCCAAAAAGGAAATTCTTGGTAACCTAATGCTAATAGAAACCATTCAATAGGAATCATCCTGTTACCAGTTTCATGTTCGTTTTATTTGCTTTACATTTTCATTGGCTATGAAATTCCCTCCTCTCCAAAAAAAACAAGTTGGCAATTAAGTTTCTCTACTTGCAACAATTATCATTGTGTTACAAATACAGCTTGCAATAGCTGGCTGTTGTGTTGGCTGCCTGTGGTAATAAGTGCTAGCAAATGAGAAGGAGATAATTTAACTCGTATGTAGGTATCCCTAGGAGACTTGGAGCAATGTGTGTCCAAAAGGATGACTGGATTTTGGTAGGTTTCTGAACATTTGTGTTTTAGTCTTCCTGAAGTTAGAAGAAGATACATGTTTTCAATTTACGTTACAAATTGATGCTGAGAGTGCATCTACAATTCTTAGGTAGATATTTAGTAATGAACTGGATTTTTCTGACAGAAGCAAAATTGTGCCACGTGTCCAGTTTATTATTAAATAAAAAAAAAAAAAAATCTGTGGTTCTTTCACCTTTGTTACAGCAGACTTACACGGACCGGTATGAACTGATGTGAAATCATGTCCTTATTCTCTTGGCATAGTTTTGTAGATCTGCATCTGCACTGACTTCCACATATGAGTTGAACGGCAGAAAAGATATTGGGAAGCCCTGTTACACTGAGCCATACGCAGACTGTAGTTTTACATTCTAACATCTTAAACAGCAGCCATACGTCCTCTACTACTTGAGCCCTAGAAAGTCATAAAAACAAAAACCTCCTTTGATTCCAGGGTAAAACAACATCCACTTCAACCCCTTTACTTGAACTGTGGGCAATAATAATGTGGTCTTTAACGTGATTCCTGAGGTGTGCTAGGGATCATAGTTCTAGTGCAGGAGTTGTTGATGGATGCTTTTGGGGACCATCAAGAATACATGTGCAGAGGGTGGGCGGTTTTAATTTTCAGTTGTTTGAAACAGATCAACTGGCTTTTAAATGGCTGAGGGCTTTTTTTAATCTTTTCTTCTGCTGGCAAGCAGCCTTTCCATCTGCTCAATGTGGGTTTTTAATGTAGTAACCTGTAGGTCTGAAGTAAACATTAGCTCTATTTTAAAAAAGCACTATTGCATGGCGAGGCCATTTTGTTGCCTGAGTGATACATTTGTATGTCATGCGTTTAAATATCAGTGCAAAGCCTTACCTGCTTTGTACTTTCTTGGTGGACAAGTTCTGCGTTTTACATGTGTGATACTATTAAGAAATTCTGTTTTACAGCGTGCTATTGGACATTACCTTCCTGTCTTGCTTGTGTGATAGATTCTGTTTTTCTTATCTATAACAGTACTTTAATTAATTACTGCTAGAAGAATGGCCTTAGCAGCTTGAGCCTATCTGGCAGTATATAGGATGGAGGCAATTATATGTTGATGGAAACATTCTGGAATAATTATCATAGTTTGAGGAAGGTATCTATAGAGTAGCTGTTTGGCACCAGCAGCTGGGCGTATTGTGGAAGGTCTTATTTGGCCTTGGCAACTAATGAAGGCCACGTGGAATTGTCCTATATGATGTATATATGTGGATTACCTAATGGTTCCATTAGTTCCATCAACAATGATAACGAGGCTTTGTTCCCTACTACATTGAATAGAAAAGTTATTTGGTACCATCTTTTGTCAGCAGCCTTTCCTTTGTACCTTAAACTGTATTTATATGGAGATATAAAAAAATGGGACCTAAGTACTTAGGTGCTTTGGACAGACAATTTGTGAACAAGAGTTGCTTTTGGGTAAGTACTCTGGACACAGTCATGCATTCATAGATTTTATGGGTGTCTTTCTGTCTGTATAGGACTTTGTGTGGGACCAGATATCAGTACGTGACCAACAGAATAAATGAAAATAGTAGCATTTAGTTACGCAGGTTTTGCAGTTAGACTTTCTTTGGCTTCAAATATTTGGAAAAGAAAGTAAATTTGACAATTTCAAATAGAATTTTAGTTATGTTTTTTTCCAGTGTAGGTTCTTCTCAATATAAGTTTTCTTGCATTCTTGAAAGCACTTTGGCTTTGTTTTGTTTAATAGTCAGCACATGCAATTTTCTGATCTGTAACAGCACTGTATTTCAAGAGTTAGCAATAGCGGTGTCTAGAAGTCTTATAAATATTCTTATCAGAAAAACATTCTGTGATCACAGGAATTCATCAGATAGCCTGAACTTTCTAATTATTTCCATTGATTGCTGCATTTTAGGGTTTTTTTGCTAAATTGACTTACAAGTCTTACTATAAGGACAGTATTTTAATAGTTGGAGCAAATTTCTCGTCAAACCAAGAAGTAATCATATTTTTAAAAGGTTTGTATTACAAATACTGTAATACAAAATAAAGTCTAAATGCCTTTGTTTTTAAGTGAACAATTTAAGAGGCAATCACAATTTTTTTTTAATTTCATTTTTTTAGATTAATCACAATTTCTACATGTGGTCTGCCTTGGGTATTATATCTTGCTAGAACTGAGCAGTATCTGAAGAATACTGCTCAGACTCTATAGTAAAGTGGTAACGCCACAACCTATACATCATACCGTACAGTTTTTATCACCAGGTTATCAGAGTAAGGTGTCACCTGTTCTGTGATTTCTAACCACCGTTCTATATTCTGTTTTAATGTAAACCTCTTAAGCGTTTCTTGCAGCCAGTTACACTGTGTGTTCTCATCAAGGCTACTGTTATAAATGGCATGCATGCATATTTATGTGAGTGAGTCAAAGACATTTGTAAGTCACATCCTTGCATTCTAAATGAATTCTGCATAAACAGTACAACGTTTTATAACTACTGACGACACTTGAGTGAATAAAAGCGGTGTTAGTTCTTTATTGGTTTAAACAGGTATGGTTTAGGAGAGAAAATTGAACTTTTATATCACTGTAATGTACCTCCCAATATGTTGAGGTACAGATGTGAGATTTCTATCTCCATAAATTGGATTCGTGGTACAAGGAAGGTCATTGGAAGCCTCATGCTATTCTGAGCTGACAAGCAGCAAAACTTTACTGGCCTTTGTAACAGCTTCCTTTGGTTCAAACTTCTTGGTATGAAGTTGTTATGTCTCTTTCTAATGAAGTAGTAGTAGTAGTATGCTTAGTAAAAATAAATACAGTAACATCTCATTCTTGAGGAAGATCAAAGGCAAGCCTTTACATTTGATATGGTAAAATAAGATGCCAGAACTTCAATATGTAAGGAAGCTAGGGAAATCAATATAAGTTCTGTAACAAGCATGCTAACAGCAATCTGTAATACAGCTTTTATTTTCTTGAAAAATTGTCACTAAAGAAAAACTATAATTGGGCATCATTTGTAAACTGTAAAGTCTCAGTGGTACAACATTTAGGATATTTAGTGTGATATTGATGTTGTTTTTAGAAGTTATTAGGTAATACCCCAAATATTTTTGTGATGTAGGAGGTTAATGTTAAAATTGTCAGCTTCCAAATCTTCCTTCTTAACTGGGGGAAAAAATATTTGACTTAACAATCTGAAATAGTTGCTTTTGCATGCTGTACAAAATTCCTCTTTTTGTTAGTTGAATCTCCTTTCTTTCTAGTTTTTCAGAAGCAAAAACTTTTGGAGGTTTTTATGGCTTTAAGGAATGTTTGGAAGTGCTATTTTACAAACATTGTTTCATATAGTTCACTTTTACAGTTCACCTCAGTGAAATATGCCTCTTATTTTCAGTCTTCCTTTGAGAGGAAGTCTTTCCAGAAGCTTTCAGTTGTGATTCTCTTCACCCATGACCAGTGTTGTTCAGTGATTGACAGCTGAGAAGTCAGTTGTAGGTTGTGGCCTCTCTTCTGTGATTTTTCTCGGTGCTTGCTTTGTGAACACGCTGAGTTTACGAGAGACTGTGCATAGTTTCTGTTCAGTTTGGTTTCAGATTCTTTATTCTGAACAAATAGGAACATTGAAATGGAAACAAGACTTCTTGAGAAGTAGTACTGCTTTTTTTTTTCCCCAATTGAAGTTGTAAAGGGGATTTGAGGCGGTACATCATCTGTCATCTCATAGAGGTTCTAGGGGGTGACGTGTTACGTCTTTCTCTCTGTTAAGAGTCATCCAAGAATTGACAGAGCGGGCCATGGTAATAGGTGCTAAGGTGGTAGGATGTCTTCAGCTGCTTTGCCATGGGAATTGGTGATTCACTGACTTTTATGGGTAGTCAGTTAATGACTTGCATTTCCCATAAATAGGCTTTGAACTTCTGCGTTGTGGATGTATTTGGTGGGCAGTGTAACCTTTTTTTCAGTAGTTGTTGCAGATTCTAGCTGAAATTAGTCATTTTTGTGTCAGTGCCAGTGACAGGAGTAATTTTGTGATGGAGGAAAGATCTGATTAGGACGGTTCATCTCTTTCAATCCCTATATTTACAAGAAGATTAAGAGTCCAGGCTGAGTTATGACGAATTGTGTGATTGATTTGGAAGGTTCCTTTATATATTTAAAAAATGAATAATCAGTTTTTACACTTACTTACTTACTCAAACTTACATTTGAGTTATCTGCTACAGATGTTGAAGCTGCTGAGGTAGTCTCAGGTACTTGAACATTTCCAATTACGTCCTTGTTACAATCTCTAGGAAGGTTTTAGTATTCTGAAATCAAAACTGGACTTTAGGAAACCTGACTGTAATAAGCACTTAGAATTGCTATATTAAAAATTTAGTGCAACACCTTTGTCATTTGAATCCATACATGACTACTGTGTCTCTACATGTAAGCAGTGTGCATAACTTTTTTGTACGTTGATTGTGTGATTGGCATATTAATGACAAATTTAAACAATGTTAATTCCTCGTGACGATCAGATATGACAGATTTGAGTCTTAGGACATGTGCAATTCTGTGCAAGTGTGAAAGAATCACAGGTGACTTGAAAAACATAGACTCTATCTGAGATGAG